GGGCTGAGCGCGGCGGCCGCAGCGCCATGGAGAGCCCGGGGCCCGCCGGCCCGCCTGCCGGGTAAGCCCATCTCGTGCCAGCCCCGCCGCCCAGTGCTTGCTCGGGAGCCGGCCTGCGGGCTCCCACCTGTCACCAGCGCCGGTTTGGCCGGGGGGGCGGGAGGGGTGTGCTCATGTCCAGATTTTAGGGTGAAAAGGTGACCGGCTGAAGTGAAGTTACAGAGGAGTTAATGTAAGGGCAGAAGAGCCTGGGGTAACTAACCCAGGGGGAGAGGGGAGGCAAGTGGGCAGAGGTCGTGTCAGGGAGAAATCAAGTGTTTCACATTCAGTAGCGCTGTGTGTGTGTGTGTGTGTATGTGTACGGGTAGGTTTGTTCACATGCTGCTGAGACCTGAGGGAAAGGGTCTTCCTTGGCTAGCCCTATCCCAGCGACAGGACGTAAAAGAGATCACTCAGAGAAATCCTTGCCTCTCGTGTGCTTACACCGATGAATTTTAAGCTGTTTTGTCTCATTTGAAATTCTTTGTTGTGTAGACTGTAGAGGGTATCCAGGTTGTAGCCACATCGGTCTAGAGGCAAAAGCAATCAAAACTTGTGGCAGAGGCAATATCTTTTAAAGCTTGCAAATACAGACTTTTATTTTTTGCAAGTGTCTAATTGGTCTAATAAAAGATATCACCTCTGCCACACATTTTGATTCCACTGGTGTGTAGACACCCATATAGACAGAGCTGTAGATCTACATGTATCGAATAAATCTCTGTCTGGAGATGAACCCCTCTCCCTCCCCACCAAGTTTGGGAGCGTGAGGGTCCCCTGCACCACCCTGCACCAGGGCTGGAGGATTGTCCCAAGAAAACATTAGCAATGTGGAGAGCCTTGGATAGCATCTGCACATAGGTTTTTTGCCCTCATCCCAGTTGCTGCCTCTTCCAACCTGCCCTTGCAGTGGGAAGAACAGTGACACATGGAAGGGTTAGAGAGGATGTGCTCTCCTGAAATGCCAGCACATGGTGCTGGGGAGCGTGGCAGCATGGAGGAGGTGCTGGGCTTGAGTGGGGAAGTGTTTCCAGGGGAAGCTGTACTGAAGTTCTGGAGTCACGAGGACAATGCAGGGGTACTGAAAAGCCTTTGGGAAGACGAGGCAGAAAGGTCTGTATTCTGGCACAGATGGGAAAAATCCTGATTCCAGCTGCTGAGGGAGCAGCTCTTTAAGGCTGTAGACTTCTTTTTCTAGATGGGCTTCTGGAGATCCTTTAGGACGGGTGGGCAAAATGCGGCCTGGGGGCCGGATGTGGCCCACCAGGCCATTCTATCTGGCCTGTGGGGCCCCTAAAAATTTAGAAAATTAATATATATCTGCCCCTTGCTGCCTATAATGTGGCCCTAGATGGCTTGCCAAAACTCAATATGTGAGCCTCCGCCCGAAATAATTGCCTTCCCCTGCTTTAGGAACACCAAAACCCTTTCTTGTTGTTGCGTCTCACTGTACATGTGCTTTTGCTGCAGTCCCCTTCTTTGAGCTACGTCCTTCCCCCGGCCCTAAGTGATGCAGTTAACTCTCATATAAGCTGTGTAATACAGACCCGTAATGTTTAAAGAGAATGAATCAATACAAGATGTAAAAGTAGTGACAGTGCTAGTTCAAGAACTACAAACAATGCCCTCCACCTGAAGTTGTGGGCAGTCTCTTTACTGGAGGAAAATCTAGGCAAACATTTCAAAGCTACAGTCTCCTCACAATTCACTGCTCTACTTCACAATATTTTCCACAGCTAAGGAGTGTGTTTGCCCATTATACTTTTACTTCAACATAAAAAATAATGAAATAAAAGAGGGGTAATACTAGTACATGCATCCTAAAACTGAAAAAGAAAAACAGCTCTCTGATTTCTCTCTATTTGATTACAGTAAAGCACAGTATTGAATGGGGGTAATATTTTTGTTGTTGTGGTTTTAAAGGTCTGTTTCTTTAGCTTGCTTATTTGTTTGCTCTTGCCAGTCCTTGGAGTTAGATGCTTAGTTTTCAGGTTTGTGCAGGAAGTAATGGATGAAGGAAAAGTGGCATCAGAGTTATTTACACTGCTGTACAGGCAGCCTGCTGTAAATTGAAGTCAGCTCGTGCTAACAAAAGCTGATGCGTCTCTGATTCAGTTAGTCTATAAAGTACATCAATGCCTGTATAATGTTTACTTACTAGTTTGTTGTTATTGTTGTTAGAAAGCTTAGTTGCACTTAAGGATTTTCTTTTTAACAATAACTTCTTCAAATATCTGACAGAATCTCACTGGATTTTTTAAGCCATGGGTTATGTGCAATCCCATCATTTCTAGGGATTTGATATGTAAACAAAAATTGTTTTTAAAAGTAGTGAGGAAGGGAGCTAGGATGTAAACTTGCATATGTGTTTTGATGAGTAAGGATTGTCTCTAAGTGTGGCTTTGAAAGACAGGGTACACTTGGATTGCTGTGCATCAAAACACAGATTGGATTTGCAAGTGCCCATGATGTGCCCATTTCAAACACTGCAGCTAACAGAATGCCAGCTGATACACTGAAGTCTCATAAGCCTAGTATTTCTAAATAAAGGCTCAAGTTCTCTGACCAGTTCTGTGTATAAGTAAATAGCCCCTGCAGTCTGAAGCATGTGAGAGAATGCCCCCATGAACGTCAGTGGGTATATTCCAGATTTATAGTAGTTTGACTGCACAGAATTTTGCCTGCAGAGAACTTGTGTTTGGAATATATTGTATCTGGGTCTAATCCTATACTCTTTCTGAAGTTAGTGGCATAAATCCCACAGATGTCAGTAGGGCAAGCCATTTTTTTCAGTGGTCCTAAACCTACATGGATTCATGGGCAACAATACAAACCAAATATTGTGCTGCAGACAATAATGTGCTCCAGACAATATTTGGTTTTGCTCTGCCTGTTAACCTCTGTATTATCCCTTTAATGTCTTGTGTCTGCAGGCAGGATTGAAGGATTTTTACTGTGATCCATGGATTTGGGATCACTGGTGAACTGCATCAGAAGTCAGCTCAGTAGTGGTCCTAAGTCACTTTCATTTGAACTTTAGGTGACAATGCACATACATGCCTTCTATCCATCAGAATTTGCTGGAACAGTAATGAATTTCTAATGTTGATAACCAATACTGGTGGAAATTTAGTTCTTTACTTGTTTTTACCATACCAATTAAACAGGAAATTAGTCAGGGCAAGAGAAATACTGAGAGACTCTTAAGACTGATTTGCTAGTAATACAGGTTATGAACCAGGTTTGTATTTATGAAACGTTTAGGTAGATATGAAACCCCCCCCCCCCCATGAGTTCTTGAGGGCACCTATTTTGTTCATAAAAGGTCTGTCACAAAGTACGTGGATGAAAAAAACCCATTAAGCTGGTGTCTGACTTAACTAGTGACTGAGCTGGTTTACAGCTGTAAAAGCAAGAGGTTAAAATGACCTGACCTCGCAATTTTTAACCAAAATTAGGTAGTGTGTTTTGTCTCTATGTAAATCATTAATAGCGCTGGTATTGGCTTCTTTTGTTAAATTGGCGAGCAAACTTAATGTATCATTGGTTCCTGAGTAGAACAGCTTTGCCTTATATTTTTTCCTCCAGATAAATTTAATAGCATTCCTTGTTGGAAAATGTACAGTTAGGAAAATAGTGTTTTGTGGTTTAAATGACAAAGTCTAAGATTACAGTATTTTACCAAGTTTTTGTTCATTTGTTTTGAAGAACACCTTTAGAATTTCGAATTTAAGAATATTATAATTGCTAGTTACGAGACAGATGTTTTGTAAAACAATAATACATTATTTAAATATTCTTTTTTAGAGCCAATTCTGAAACCAAGTAGTAGTGCTGGTCTGAGTGAAATTCATTCTTGTGCAGGGAGCCAGCACAAATCTTATAGCCTACTTGAGACCGTGTTTGGAGGGGTTGCTTAACTGATCCATAGTTTTGTGCAAGACCCCAAGCCCAATTTTTAGTTCTGCTGTTCCTTGAACATATAAATTTGGCATGCAGATAGTATAGTAATGAGTGCAAGCTTGACAATTTTAGGGCAAATTCTGTCATTCTGGGCACAGATTTGCTTCATTTTACCTTAACAAGGGGTGCATCTACATTTGCTCTTTACTGAAAAACTGACTAATTAGCTTCACAGTAAAGTTGTCACTGGCTACACATGCACCTGTATTAGAGCACAGACAATTAAATAACTCCTCTGTGGGATAGTACTGACTGAAATAAGTACTGTCCTATGGTGGAGTCATTTAGTGCGCCAAAATTCACATGGAGATGGTGACTGGGGCTGGCTGGGGCAGGAGGATCCTATAGTGCAGGGGCTGCCTGCCAGCTAGCCCTACACTGTAGCACCCTTGTGCCTCAGCCAACCTCTCCACTACAGATGCTGCCACCTGGAGACCAGGGTGGCCCCCCCAGGGCTCCCTGCTAGCCCAGGGCTGCTCCACCCTGGCTCGAATTGCTGTAATCCTGGGCGCAAGTGTAAACTCTGCATCCAGGAGCAGCTAACTTCAGCATGAACTGCTTTGGAGTTTATTCATTTGGGGTAATTGCAACTGTAGATGCACCCAGAGAGGTCACTAGAAAAGCAGAATTTATTTTTCTCTGCTACTTCATAGCAGCTATTAGAAGCAAAAAATAAAATGGTTTAAAACACTGACAGCAGTCTGGAGCCTCGTCCTGCATATCATTATTTCAGTAGGACCAAGGGAAGGGTTTCTCTGCTGTGCTTTTCAAACATCTTATCAATGAAATCAATGGGAGTTTTGGGTGGTCAAGAAAACAGCGTTCCCTCTAAGCTGCATGGTGTGCATGGCCATGCAGGCGTGCCTGGCAGCGCAGTATGAGCACCCCTGCGCGGCTGTGCACATCACAACACAGCTTAGAGGGAACGCTGCAAGAAAATCCACACTATGTCATATGTGGAAACATTGGCATAGAGGTCGCATAGAAATTTACATTCATTATGACTTCTAAGGGCTCATTCTTTTTTAACAGTATGGGGGTGCTCAACACTTTCCATTTTTGAGCCACTGTAGACTTGCTTTGTGATCTTGAATGAACCCTGAGATCCTGATTCAAAATAGGCACTGGTATTCAGGAAACCATGTGTTTAAGTACCTTCTTGAATTAGGGTCTTAATTTTCTGTGCTTCTGTTTTTAAGGTGAAAAATGGAGAAAACACTTCTCTGTCTTTCACGGGTATTTTGTCATTTTATGTCTGTGTGTGTCTGTGTGTGTGTGCATGCACAGAATCACACGCACTTGGGAGTTGCTTAAGAACAAAAGTGGAAGGACTTTATGGATGCGTCCTCGTGAGCGTACATGCAGATTTTGCAGCGCTTCAAACCAGTGTGAGGCGCTGTAAATGGCAAGCAGTGCACACACACCCATTCGCTACGCTTGCAGTGTGGCTGGGTTTTTTTGTCACTAGGAGATCTGATATAAAACAAAATATTGCCACTAAAAAAAGCAGCGCGGTGCATGCGGCAGCAGTGTGTGCCGCCAAAAACTGAAGCCTGGCTGGCCAGAGCCATGCTCTGGCTGCTAGCCAGGCTCCCAGCGGCTGGCTCAGCACCACTGCTGCCCCAGCAGCCCTGAACTCCAGGTAAGCCCAGGTTGCCCCAGCCTCCCCTCCCCACTCAGGTCACTTTGCCATACACTGGAGTGTGCAGGCAGGGGTGTACCCGAGGACAAATAGCAATGACACAAATTTGTGCCACTGCTGTTTGTCCTGTCAGAAACATACGTCCCTTCATGTGCATACTCATGGGGACATGCCTTAAAAGTTCTATCATAGTGTTATAAAGGTCATATAATGTTAGTAACAGTTACACACAGGTCCCTGGAAAACAAGCCTTTAAGTACAGAACAGGTCAAGTGTCTGTATTTTGTTTTGACTTCTAGTATAATTTTACGTTGTACACTTTTAGTCTGCAGTAGGCTTTGTGCAATTGCACGTGTCTTATTTAAAACATTGTATTATGCATGTATCTACCTATCACCCATCTATCATGTTTCCTTAAATGATTCTTTTAAATGGTCAAGAACATCTACCACATACAGAATGCTACTCTGTAGTACTACATCAGCAACCACGCCCCCACCCCAGTAGA